TTAAATAGTTATGTTTGAATGGGTAACAAAGACTAAGGATAAATAGGAATGAGATTGAATTGATAATTGGGTAAGTTGACAGACTCATTAGATATCTTGGGAGATGGTGGACGAATCGGGTCCATAGGGAACCTTACCGGGAACGTTGTCTCATACCGGACAGGGTATGGAGACTTTAAATGTTTTGACACTCATACCGAACGGGGTATGGGGATGACTCACTTCACCCTCATACCGGACAGGGTATTGAGATTTATTGTTTTGGTGCCCATACTGGACGGGGTATGAGGACGGTCCTGGAATTAAATTGTTAAGGTGAATAGTTCACTTGTAGCGGTGACCCCTATGGATCCCCATGGATACTGGTAGGCTGATAAAAGAGGAAATTTGTTACCTGATGATTGAAATATAAAAGTATGACACGTGTTATGTTACAGAGTGCGTATGATTTCATGATATTTATAATGTTATTGTTTTCATAAGTTGTTTTCATGAATCTCACCGAGGTAAGTGGACAGTAAAGGGTATTATTATTGATAAATGAATTTGTTACAAGTTGTACTCAATTGGTTATTTTTGTTTTCTACCAACCTTTACTTCTGTGACAGTGAGATAGTGTGACGTCTTTACTGGGTTAGTGTAGCTCATTCCTTACTTAACTATTTTAGATCATGAGGAATTGGTTCCTGAGACCGTTCTGCAGGAAGACGGCGAGTAGAAGCCTAAAGATTTTATAATTTTCCTTATAACATTCATTTCTACTATTTCCTTTAGTTAGTTTATTTTTTTATATCTTTAATACGTTTTGGTTATTGTGTAAGGGATGTTAACCATAATCTATTTTATTTCGCTTCCGCACTTAGTATTTTTATACACATTTCCTTTTAATTTCCGGGGTCGTTACAATATTAGACTTTTTTATGTACTTATTTTTCAACCTTAGACAAAAGTTTCTCTTTTTACCTTTTCAGTTTTTGTTTCTCATTGGCTACAACATACTTAATTTTTTTAAAAAATATCTATCACTGAATGAAATGTTCAATTATTGAAGCGAGATATCAAAATCGTTTCAGTAATTGTTTGCATCCTTTTGTATTCTTGAAGGTAGTATATGCCTCTTTAAAAGTTTGATAATAGACTTTTTTTTTTTTTTACTTTTTACCTCGAAAGATCTTCATACTCCTTTAGAGTAAACTACTTCAAACAAATAGCTTTTGTATCTTCTGCTGTTTTAAAATTGATATTATCAAATGCAAAAAGAGATGACCAATTATAGGTGCACATTACGCTTTAATTAATGAAATGTCTCAAAAGTAATCAACACATTATTGGTTGTATAGTGATTAAAAGTAAACTTAATTGAGTCTCACGAATAATAACACGAAATTAAATTGTCCGATCTTAAGAAGACTAATATATCTAAAATCTTTTGAATATATTAGATTTTTAGATTTACGAACAAGTATTATGTATGATCCTCTACTTTAAGGTTATAATTATAATTAAGAATTTAATATAAAGATACAAATATTTGTGCCTATTGTATCCTAAAAAGATTTAGAAAATATAATATACAAAAACTAAACTTTTGTGAGGTACATTTGTGTAAATATAATATACAACAGAAATACACATTTGGAACAATGAATTTAATGTTACAAGCGTCAAATGAATAATTTTAGAAAGTTAAACATTTTTTACGTTCAATTTTTAAATACATATATATTATTAAGATGACGATGTTGCTTAAAACGTATTAATAGAATTATACCGCACGATCGTATACATCATAATGGGACTTTACCAAATATTAATTAGAATAATACTAAATTAAAATTGCATTTAATTCTTAAGATAATTATTTTTAAGTTTGTTGGTGACTTTAAAAATATTGAAAAATTAATTTCGCACTTCAATCTTTAATAATATTCAGCAAACATCTGATTATTAATTGCACCTAATATTTGGGTCATGTGTTATTTTTTATATCTACAAAAGTAAATGTTGGAAGCTCAACTTTTACCTAATACATATTAAGGAGAAACAATTACTAATTTTGTACATTATTAGGAGTATGCATATAAGATGTGCTATAAATATATATATATTTTTAAAAAAAGTAATAATTTAAATAGACTTTAACATATAATATGGATATCCCATATCATATTATATGTAAAACATTTTAAAAATTGAAGTTATAAGCGTCTAACATGACTCATAATGAATTTAATTTTTTAAAAAAGCCACGACCCATAAGGCCTTTCTCTAGCTTAAATTGGAAGCCTATAGTTGGTGCCTTCTCTTATATATATATATATATGTTATATAATGGGTATTTGGTTAATCTCTACATTTAATTTGACTCCATTTTGCATATAACAGGTTGGGGTTGGGTTGGTATCGGTTCTCTATTTCTGAAATTTACACTCCGCCTACCAAATTGATGTGGGTGTTCTCAGTTATATCTATTGCCTACATTTATATACATATATATATATATATATATATATATATAATATGTATATGGTACATACATATACATATATTAGATAATTGGTTAAGTGCTTTCTTTTCAATACTTTTCAATTCAAATTTAAGACATTATTGTCCGTTTGTGGTTAAGTTATATGTTTTCGTTAGTTACTTTCTTGGCTTTGAAACTTAACAAATTAAGATTAATCAATTGATCATGCACTTACATCTTTACCTTTTGGTGAAAGCTTAAATTAGAATGAAACCAAAAAATTAATTAACATGGATCATATCATCAAACATACACACCATAACTAACCAAAAGTAAGTATTTTGGATTATACAATAAATTTGTATATATCTAACTACTAGTTAACATATATATATATATATATATATATTTATTTTATGTAAAAAATTATGAATTTTTATATGTATTTTATTAAGAGATTATTTATATTATTTTATAATTAATATATATATATATAATATTTAATTAATGAATTAAATAGTTTAATTATAATTAAAGTGCTTCCCAAAATTTGTTGAAAGCAATATCAAAAGGTAGGTGGCTAGTCTTTATTTCTTGTGCCACAACAACTAACTGATTTGTCAATTTCCACTACACCTTAGAGAGTTCAATTTTGTCATTTCCAGACTTTAAACATATATATATGTATATATATGTATATACATACATGTTTAATAATGTTATTATATAGTAGCTAGCTACTAGTTTATATAAATATATATAGCACTATTACATGTATATATTGGGCGGGGCTATACATCCCTCCTTGATTATTTGAATTTGAGAAAAATAATTGGACCCACAAGAAAAAAAAAACAATTAACATATGAATTTTGTTGAAGAAATTGAGCCGAAAGTGATAAGATTTACAAATTGAACTTGACCTAATGTGGAATTTATGTGTGCAACAACATGCACTAACATGGACAAAACCCCCACCTTATATAATGTTTTTAATATTTATTCTTAGTTTAGCTTTTACTTATTTTATAAAAAAATAAGGTACTATTCACGTTGGAATTTAAAAAAAAAAAATCATTAAAAATTATCATAATCATTATTAATATTAATATTTACTATTGAGATTATAATTTTTAAGACTGCCCATTCTTTAGATATTGATGTTCAATTATTAAAAATAGTAATTTCAATTAATATTTTAAATTTGAACTTATTTTAATAATTTTATACCTTATTCCACATATTTTCTGAATTATATATATAAAAAAAAAACATAGTATTGGAAGATTTGCTTCGTCTTTTTTCACCTTAAAAACCAAAGTTTATATTATAGACAAATAAATTTTATTTTTGAGATTTAATTTTAAAAAGTTAGGATCTTTTTTTTAAAATGAATTTTAAAATTATATAGAGTTTATTTATAAATTTACATTCATTTTGATTATAAAATAATAGAAATTCTACTCAAAATAATGAGTTTTATTATATTGTTAATCTATTTTAAACATAGGGGTAATATATATATATATATATATTTAAAAATTTATAATGGTGAATTTTTCAAATGATGAAATTTGGTATGCCAAATAATCTTAAGTTGAATTAAACTTATACATTCTAAACTTTATTAATGCATTGCAATTTACTTGAATGAATTTTATTTGAAATTTACTTCATTGTTAACCAAATAAGTTATTAATTAAAAAATCATTTATTATAAATTAAACATAGATTAGACCAAAATGGGTGGGTTTAGATTTTGGCTTTGGGTGCTAATCTAATGAGATTTGGTGCAATAAGTATAGAATATATAATAATAACAAAATTTGCATATCTCTATATATAACTTTTTGGTATGATTAGTTGAATTGACCATGTCCAAGGAATGCTAATTAAATTACAATCTTAAGTTTAAAGAGTTTAGTGGGTGCTTGGGCCAGCCTATTAGAATCGCAATTCTTAGTTTTACTCCATGTTAATTAATCATTATAGTTTAATAGAATAATTAATAATTAAATTTTCAATTCTTTATGGTTTAATGACTTATATATTGTTGCGTTAATAATTGCTAATTAAAGACATCTTTATAAAATCAAAAGTGGAAACTTAAAATAAATTTTTTCTTTTAATCTTTTGGTTACGTTAACTAACATCTTATAATATCAATTGATTTATAGTTTGTGCATAAATATAATATTTTATTAAATTAAAAATTTCTCAAATTATTATTATTATTTAAATTATTTATGACCTAAATAAACTACACAATAAATACTAATTTTTATACACCAATATTTGATGGTTGTTTGTTTGATCCACACGCGCTCTAAAAGCACCTGACCTCGAAAATTCTGATTTTTTTTTAACACCAAAAAGAAAATTAAAAAGAAAAAGAAAAGAATTTTCTGTTATGTTCAATCTGTAGGTCCGGGACGAGGTTCGGGAACTTAGCTACGGGGATGGAGAGACAGGAGGGACTGGGAGTATAAAGCAGAGATGGCTTTCTACTTCGTAGAGAGAAAGAAAAGCAAAAGGTCACAATGGAGAATGTGAGCAGGCTGTAATTTGAGTATCAACAAACAGACCTCACCAACAGCAAAAGGGAAATAAATATCTCTCCATTGAAGACCCCATCTTCTTTCTTTGTGCGTGTATCTTCATCTTTACTCCATTACTTCTCTGATCTCTTGCCTTTTTTGCCTTGATGATCACTGCATTTAGCCCTACAAGTTGATGAAAGTTTTTTCAGCTTGAGAACCAATCCGAGTTATTGTCGTTTTTCCACGAGAAGAAATGGCGGCGGATGGAGCTCCTTCCTTTTCTTTGGTGTCGATGGTGGAGGACGTCCTGCAACAGCATGGAAATCGGATGGGAGATCTTGATTTGGAGTCTAGGAGAGCTGAAGAAGCTGGTATTTCTTTTTTCTATTTTTTGTATATTATATCTTTTTATTTTGTTTATTGTTAAGGAAAAAAAGAAAGAAAAATCTAAGCCAGGTACTTGTTTGGTTGTTGTTGAGCAGAGAAGAACACATTAAATGCTAATTTCTGCAAAGTTTGGTTTTGGTTGTGAATTTGGTCGTCCTTTTCTTCTTTTAAATTTTTGTTTCGTTATTTTTCACATTAGTTATAATCTGCACCTGGAAATTGACAATTAATTCTCTCCATTAAGCTGAATTTTACTTCTTGACTGAGCTTAGATGAGTATCTGTCCTCTTTCACCTATCTCCTATCTTTTGTCTACCAAGTGCTTCAATTACTCAAGAATCCTTGACATAATTTCTATGAACATATTTTTGCTCCTTTCACTGGGCAAAGATTGTCTGATTGACTGAGATGAAGACGGAAAATTATGATCTGTATTTTCTCCTATTCTCTTATCATGTGTCCTTGTGGAACGCGATCTATCCAAAAGAAAACGCGGAGCACTGCAACACCTACACTTTTTGCTGGAAAATTTCAATTTCTCTCGAAGCATATCTCATTTATAGGTTGACTTTGTAACTTAATGAGAGTGATCTATCTCCTTTGCTTTTCTTTCTCTTCTTTCAATTTAGATATTTTGCCAGTGTTTGCCTTTGAAAGTTTCCGTTGCTTTGCTGTATGATTCGTCTTATTCTTCTTGTATATACATTTTTAGTAGCAAATTGTCCAACGGAAAAGAAGGTTGGATGCTGAACCTTTGTTACATTATTTTTCTTTTCTTTGTTTAGCTAATGGAGTTTCCTTGGGTAAAGGAGAAATATGATTGCTTCCTTTTCTCTTTTTTCTTAAGATATATATATATATATGTAAAGGAGAAATAGAATTGTCTAATATTTGTTAAAGACACAGAAAACTGTTCTTTCTCTGTTCTCTCAAAACAAATGAATCCAGTGGTGATGTGAGCATAGAAAATGTTGAATTTTTTACTTCAGAATATGCATAGAATTTAATTTAAATTATTTTGTTCTCTCGTCAAGACAAGTTTGAAGATATTTGTATACCCGTTTTATGTATTTATATTTATTGATTGACATGGGTTTAAATTTAAAAGTCATGGATAAAGGGACGATCCACAGTTCTATTTTTTACTTTTTTTAAGTTTATTCATATAAAATCGGGCATAGTTTGGCAAGAAGAAGAAAAGTTCATGAGTAGTATCATTATATTCTTTTGTTTCTCAACCTAAGTAAACATGTATGAATATATGCAATTTCTCAACCTTTTTTTCTGAAGTAAATGTGTATCAATCACGATTCTTGTCAAGCAACCATATCCTTTATGTTTCATCTTTTTGTTTGGATGTTATAAAACAATGGTAGCTATCAACTTTAAGTCAACACTCAGGCTCGAATATTTGAGCGTAATCATGCCCTTGCAATTTGATTCTGCAACAAGATGGTCACGATGAGTTGTATTGTTTATTCTTTTTATTCTGAGTTAGAATAAAACTCAAGGTATGACTACATGGTTGTTGAGCTAGCGGTTTTGGTCTTTAGATGTCTCACTTTATTTTGTGTGATGTCACTGGCGGCTACAAGCATTTTAGGGATAATCTGAAATCACTGATGAGCTGTTTATGTTTGTACTATAGCATCAAGGAGATATGAGGCGGCTGGATGGCTGAGAAAGATGGTTGGGGTTGTTGCAGCAAAGGATTTGCCTGCAGAGCCTTCTGAAGAAGAGTTTAGGCTTGGACTGAGGAGTGGGATTATCCTCTGCAACGTTCTTAATAAGGTTCAACCTGGAGGTGTGCCCAAGGTGAGAGAAATCCCCCTATCTCTAGTTGCCTATCGTTTTATCTTGATGGTATCATAAATTCTATATAGCATTGCTGCTATTTTGTAGGTGGTTGAAAGTCCATGTGATGCTGTCCTCATTCCCGATGGAGCAGCATTGTCAGCATTCCAGTATTTTGAAAACGTGAGAAACTTTCTTGTGGCCTTGCAAGAGATAGGGCTTCCTACCTTTGAGGCATCTGATCTAGAACAAGTATGCTTGATATTTGTTGATATTTAACTACTGTCCCAGAGATGGTTTCAGTTGGAGAATTGTGAATAGAAATTTAATTTCTTTAGATTTTCTCTTACATTTTTGTGTAAATCTTCAGGGAGGGAAATCTACAAGAGTCGTGAATTCTGTATTGGCACTCAAATCTTATAATGACTGGAAACAGATGGGTGGAAACGGAGCATGGAAATTTGGGGGTAATATAAAATCTGCTACACTGGGGAAGTCATTTGTAAGAAAAAACTCGGAACACTTTATGAACTCCTTGTCAAGGAGCTCATCAATTAATGGAAAGACTCTAAATGCAAACTCCTCTGACCTTAATTCTAACAAAATGGTAATTAACGACTATCTGTTTAAAATCTATCTCCATTCGCTTTATTTTCTCACATAATGAGATTGACTTTCACTTGTTTCTTTCCTTTTCCCTTTCCTGATTTACAGTCTACTTCTGGTTCTCTGAATATGCTTGTTCGTGCAGTTCTATTAGATAAAAAGCCGGATGAAGTCCCAATGGTAAGGTTTACGTGCTTAATGTTGACTATTGCAAACTTAGTTAGTACTAGTTGCTAATTTGTAGCTCCAGAAAAAATTTGCTGTATTGATGTCCGCGTGTTATTCACAATTTTGAGCCTTTGGAATTGAAAGCAATATTTTTCTAAATTCTTTGCCTTTTTAATTACTGTTACTCAAACCATGCACCTGTATTGCCCTGTTCAGGGAGATATAACATAAATGTTCTCTGAATTTTGCTGCACTCGCTGGCTACAATATGCACTAAAATTACTACCTCGTTGCTTCATTGTTTCTCATGGATATTCTAGTTTGCTTTTACTGTTGCTAATCATATGGGGTTATCTCCTGCATTCAATAGTTGGTGGAATCTGTGCTAACTAAACTTGTAGAGGAGTTCGAGCATCGTATTGCAAGCCAATATGAGCTGGTATGCTAGTTTCCATCCTAAAACTTTATTAAGTCTGGATTCACAAAACAACTTTAATATGTCATTAAGTTATTATTGATTTAAGAAACTAATTGCTGTTTGTTTATTCTTTCTACCTTTTGTTTCTTTAATCGGAAGATGAAGACGGCTTCAAAAGAAGTAGTGGCTTCCCATAGCAACAAGTCCCTATTTAGTCCTCCTTCCGGAGATGGGAAGGTAACATGTTTGCTCCTATCTTCTAAACAGTGACAAAATGCCAGAAAGTGTTTCTTCAATAAACCTATGATATTTGACAATTGTAAGATTTATTCTAACAACTTCTTGTCTGTTTGCTCATACTGCAATGATTTAGATTGAAGATAAAAATGTTAAAGTGATCAAGAAAGAGGAATCCTATCATAGAAATTTTATACCTGACGAGGAACAGAAAAGTCGACTTCTAAAACAGAAAACAATCTTTGATCAACAGCAAAATGATATTGAGGTAGCATTTGAATTGTGAATATTCTCCCTTACCACTATATCTCTTAGATGATAAGAGCATCTAATTATATTTTTCATCTTCTTAGGAACTAAGGCATGTTCTTCATGCTACAAAAGCTGGCATGCATTTTATGCAAATGAAATTTCAGGAGGAGTTCAGTACTCTTGGTAGGGATGCTGATTCTTTCATTATCATTAGTGTTATGTATTTATGTGCACATGCTTTGAATCTATGGTGTTAACTGGATCCCTGTCTAAAATTTGAGCATGGTTCTGTTTTAGGTTCGCATATTCATGGTTTAGCACATGCTGCTTCTGGTTACCACAGAGTTCTTGAGGAAAATCGTAAGCTCTACAATCAGGTACAAGATCTCAAGGGTAAGTCACTTGTTTCCCAAGGTCCTTTCATCATGCCTGTCTTTTAGTGTTTCCTCCATTGAATTATACGGTTGTTTACTTTTAACAGGAAGTATCCGGGTTTATTGTCGGGTGAGACCGTTCTTGTCTGGACAATCAAGCTATTTGAGCACTGTTGAATTTATAGAAGATGGAAATATCGCCATTAACACACCATCAAAGCATGGGAAAGGACGCAGGTCCTTCAGCTTTAACAAAGTCTTCGGGCCATCTGCAACTCAAGGTTTCCTTATCGAATCCGCATTCTCTCCTCTATTGCAAAACACTATGGTCTTTGAATTTATTTTTTAACCTGTTGTATACTATTGTTCCGCAGCGGAGGTTTTCTCGGATATGCAGCCATTAATTCGATCAGTTCTTGATGGATATAATGTTTGTATATTTGCATATGGTCAAACCGGGTCAGGAAAAACATATACAATGGTAAGATATGCTTCAACAATCTTTGAAGGATTGTAGTACTTCGTCGTTGTTGATAAAACCTGGGACATTAATGTATATTTTTTATTTATATTTCCAGAGTGGACCCAAGGAGCTAACAGAGAAAAATCAAGGTGTTAATTATAGGGCCTTAGGTGATTTATTTCTGCTAGCGGAACAAAGGAGGGACACTTTCCACTACGATGTTGCTGTTCAAATGATTGAGATTTACAATGAGCAAGTTAGAGATCTCCTTATTACTGATGGAAGTAACAAACGATATCCTTTGCAAATTTTATGGTAATTCCGCCAGTTTATGAATTAGATATTCCCATGATGTAAATTCTGCCTGTAATGGTCTTGAAAATTGCGAATAGAAGCGAAGAAAGATTCAAATGTTTATTTTTTAGTCAAATACTGGGTCAAAGATCATAAAAAAACTAAACGAAATGTGCACTCTAACATCCGTTAGAAGCTAGCTCACTTGCAGTTGCTCCATTTTTATCTTTTACCTATCCTTAATCTGTTGATACATTAGAAATTCGCAACAGTTCTCAGACAGGCCTCAGTGTACCGGATGCAAATCTTGTTCCTGTTTCATCAACATCTGATGTGATCGACTTGATGAACCTTGGACAAAGAAATCGTGCAGTAGGTGCAACAGCCTTGAATGACCGAAGCAGTCGATCTCACAGGTGACCAATTTTCTATTCTTTATGCATAAGCCCGTGATCTAATTTTGATAAAACTAATTTTTATTTTCTCAATTTGCAGTTGCTTGACTGTACATGTCCAGGGAAGGGACTTGACGACTGGAACTCTTCTTCGTGGCTGTATGCACTTGGTTGATCTGGCAGGAAGTGAAAGAGTGGACAAGTCTGAAGTAACAGGAGATAGGCTAAAGGAGGCACAACATATTAATAAATCGCTTTCAGCTCTAGGAGATGTGATTGCTTCCCTTGCCCATAAGAATTCACATGTTCCTTACCGGAA